TTTTTTTTCGTGGCAGGCTCGAATGCTGCAAGCAGTGCCACGCCCATCTCCAGAACGTGCAAAAGATTTTACCAGATTTGGTGAAGTGAGCGATTCTTGCATTCCGGTTTTTAATTCGTTACGTAACATGGTATCTACATAATATAATTTTTTATTCGATTATTTTATGGTTTATAGGAAGGGAGGTGGTGTAGCAAGATATGCCCAACAACTGAATCTTATTCTCCAAGAGACGTAAAACGAGCTTGCAGCTGAAGATCTAAAAGAGAAAGTGTCGTTAGCTTCGTAATTACACGATTAACAAGTTGTTTAGTAGAGATGACAAGAGCTAGCAAGAAAAAATAGCTAGCTTCTCACGGAGCGAAAGCTTTTCAAGCGTGTTGCGATTTTGTGTTTGCACTGGCTGATAAGCTAAACATGCGTTCGTGATATGAAGACAGGACACAGGTAGTTAACTCACATCACATCCCCTGCTTTTTGTGTAATTCTGTATGTGCAGCTACGTACATATATACATATACATATACATATATGTTTCTGCCTAAAGAAAATGGACTCTGGACTACACTGATTAATAAATTTGTTTATTTATATATGCTGGAAATTTTGGAAAAATCGGATTAGGGTTCTTTTTTATTGTTTTTTTTTTTTACTTTTTATTTTTACTCTTTCTCATTGAAATTGTAGTGAAGAAAAAAAAATGTTACGAATCTATTTTTTTTTTTCTAATCAAACGATAATTATATTAATAACTTAAAAATAGAGTACGATCGAGATGTCAATAGATATCACTAGAACTAGAAGAAAGTTTTTGATCCACCTTTCGTTGGTATTACATTACATACCCGAATACTCCGTTAGGAGTGAACAAACTTTAAAACAAAGAATCAGACACAACTGGACTCTAAACTATTGAAGGAAAAACAAGAATCTTATTTATATGAAAAATATATTATCAATAACTATATTTTACAACTCATTTCTTATTATATAAAAAATATATTATTAATAACTAAGTACCTAGTAATTTAAGCATTATAATGCAAATAGTTGGAATATATCTACCAAGCTTATATGTAGAAAATAAGAAGACATTGTTAATATAACTTCATAGACTATGTACATGGTTTTATGGGAAAAATTTAAATTTTGGAAAGTCCGTTTATTTGTATAAAGTCTGTTTTTGGTACACCAACTTTCTCTCATCAATAATAGTACGTTATGTTGCAATTTGTTTTATTTTTGGGACATTACTCATCAAAAACAGTACAGTATATTGCAATTTGTATCATTTTGAGGACATTAATCTCAAAAAATAATGAACCATTTTCGAGATATTAATATCTCAATAGTGATATAAATTGCAACATAAGTTACTACTGTTGATGAGAGGAAAGTTAGTGTACCAAAAATGGACTTTAGACAATTAAACGGATTAAAATTGAATTTTTCACTGATTTTATGAGTATATTTTGATGGTTATGAAGAATGTTGTGTATGTATATTTATATGAAGAAAATATTTAAAACCACATGATATTTTAAATCATAGCCCTTTTTTTAAGACATAATCAAAATAAATAGCGTTATTTGTTTTTAATTTAAAAATATATTATAAAAATAAAATTATAATTTATATTAAAAAAATATAAAAAATACTTTATTGATAAAATTATTATAAAAAATAAAAATAAATATATGTTTTAGGGAGAAAGATAAATTTAAAAAATAAGAGCGTTTACAATATTTTAGAATTCAAAGAGAGTAGAGAGTAAACTCGTTGAAACTAATTATTAAACTCCTTTTCATGCAAATAGCCATCTCGCACGTTACCAAAGCTCATTTTCATATTTTTCCAAAATAGAATCGGTTTGGATGGGAGGA